TGGCCAGCAATGTGCTTAGCTAAAAATGCCACATTTCACAGGCTTCCTTGCAGAGAAGGGTAGCCAATAAGATATAAGCAGAAGTCCTTGGGTGAGATTTCCAAGGTCTGGATTGCTGCCTGGCCCCAGTTGTTTTGATCACTGATGTGATGGCTCAAGCTCTCCAAAAGCCATTTGAAGACCATGAGAGAAAATCCAGAAGAACTGTAGTGACTGCAGTTCTGACATCCTTGAACCACTGTAACAAAGCCAGAGACTGCCTCCTTCCAGATGTCTCATTATAGGGGAAAAAATAAACCATTATATGTTTATGCTAGTCAAACTGTTCATAGCAGCCAAACACAATTCCTAACAGACACAGATGAAACATTTTGCAACCATTTAAAATTATCTTTCTGAAAATGGAATATAATATTAAATGAGAAAGCCAGAATATAAACTCCATACGTGGTATGTCCCATTTTGTTCTTAAATGGGACATATACACTGTATATGAATGAAAATAACTATGAAATATATTGAAATGTCAATAGTGGCTGTCACAGGATTGTGGGTTACTTATTATTATGATTTGTACCCTATGCTTTTTAAGTTTTCAAAACTGAGAATTAAAAAAATGTTTTTAAGATTGCCTAATATACACACATGACAGATGAGAATGTAAATTAGTTAAATCTACACTTTTTGGAAAACAATGCGACAACATGGCTCAAAAGGTTTTACCAGTTTCATACTTTTTACCTTTCTATTTCCACTTTGACCTATCTACCTTGGTCAAATAATATGAGACTCAGACAAAGAATTATACACATGGATGTTTGCTACAAGATTATTGGTGATACTGAAAGAATGGAAACAAATTAAATGTCCAATATTAGGAAAGTTTACAATTAAAAATATTATAGTATATCCATCCTATATGGATGGATCCTATACTTACAAATCACAATTAAAGTAAGAGAAAGAACATTTTGGAACTCGTTTTAAAGCTATTTCCACATCTCTAAATCCCCCACCCCCTGAAACAATAAGGGGCATCAATGGAGTGTGGAGGTGCCCTCTTATCTAGAAGATATTTCTAGCCTCAACTGAAATTAGATATCCATCTGAGTCCACAGCAAGAAAATAGCTTTACTGAGAAAGATAGATTTTTCTAAAGTATGTTTATGTGCTGAGGGCCAAGTCTGAAGGAGTTAGTTAGTTCTTCAGGTTCTGTCTACTGTGGCAGCATGAACCTGAGACCAGCTGCCTAGGGAGGAGGAAGATGTGATGTCTTGGATGGAACATATGAAGTCCCGAAGCTCACCCCTTCCTGCTCGGAGGAAGCAGCAGCTGCTTCTTGCGCTCTGCATCACATGCTCCCGGCTCACTCCTGTTTCTGTGGGTACCATGTGGAGGCCTCTGAGCGTGATGACAACCCCCATCCAGGCACTTGCCTTTCATCTCCACTTTTCTGCAGCCTAGTGGGGAAGTGTCTTGGACCCTCTCACCCAATCTCAGAAGAGATTGAGCCCAATCATCTACGGCAGCAACTAACTCCATGATACACCTTGTTTTGCCCTTCTTCTCACTTCTGCGCTGTTTCCTGATACCACCTCCCAAATAAGTGACCCGCATTCAAAGCCTTACCTCAGGCTCTAATTCTAGGAAAACCAAAACAGATGGGATGTGGGAGGAAATAAGAGAAAGAGTGCTAACAACTCTCATTTATCCAACTTTGGGAACCCAAGGCTATTAAGAGTAGTTACCCATTTCTCCTGGTATATTTGACCAACATTTTGGAAAAATGTAGGAATGGCAGGTGTTGTTTTATGACACTTCCATTTCAGGGGTGTGTGTTTGTGTGTGATTACTGGGTCACAATGTATAATGTATTTCTTCATGTGGATTATCGTCCAAAAAGTTGGAAAGCCACTGATCAAGAGGACACCATGTGAGTCCAAGGAATCTCTTCTTTGCTGCAACAAAACTACCTATAAACATTAATGAGAATATTTTAATGATATGGAAAAACTACTTGTGATTGGGACTGGGAGTGGTGGGAGAAAAATGACAAAACATTGAATACAGTATGACTTCAACTCTGTAAAAGCAAAACTATGAAGTAAAAGACCACTGTCATTCATTCATTTCCAGCTTTATCCAATTGGGTAAATCCCTAAAACGCCATGAATAATGAAAGGACACTTAATTTAAAATGAGTGTTCACACATGAAAGAAGGGAAAACCAGGAGACAGAGAATCAAGGACCTTGTGGGTCTTGTTCCACAGTGCCTAGAATCATGTTTGCTACACAGAAGACAGGAACTATTTGTTGGCTAAAGAGTGAAAGTTAAGGACACGTGGTCACAGATCCTCATTTTAGGAGCACGCAGCCTTGCGTGGCCTCAGGAAGGAGGAGAGGCTAAGCAATGGCCCTGTTTCTGCCGCTTAAACAACTGTATGTATACCTTCCAGCATTTGCCAAGGCCACCCAGGCACTTCAGACACTGCAGTTGCCACAAATTCTGCTGTTATCATCCACTTAGGGGACAATTCCATGTGTCTGCTTTGAAAAGTGTGCTAATTTATCCTTTACTTTATTGAAAAACAGTGTAAGTTAATTGTAATAAATTGAATATAAGGTGTATATGATGAAATGTTAATCATAATTTCTTCTGGATAATGGAGTTATAGGAGGCACCAAGATTAGTGGGGATCTAAGGGTCAAGCTCTGTACTAAACTCTCTATTTACAAGACTTATATTTCATCCTTTCAATAACCTAATGAAACTGATATTGTTATAGTTATACAGAGGAGGCAGTTATTGAACAATAACTATGTACCAAAAATAATGCTGAAAGCTTTACACATATAATCTCATTTAATTCTTAGAATAACACTATGAAGGAAGTACACTTTCCCTTGTTTTCCATGTGGGGAAAAATGAGACTTTCAAGAGACTACTTGTGAGGAAAGCACGAACACAGCAGGTACAGTTGTTTACTCCTCACTGTCTCCAGAAGAACCATGACTGACCATTGGCCAGCCCTTGGGAATGTGGCTCTTGAGAGTTCTTTGTACTGGTGAGTGAGGATTTTGTTATATACACGTGGAGCAATGGATCATGTCCTACTGGCTTGTCAGGTTGCTCTGTGCTAATATCAGGACTGGTGATGTGTACCTGGTTTCATATTGGGTACTACTTTGGGTTGCCACAGCAGAGTATATACTCGGATATATGCCTGTGCTACCAGACCCTGCATAAAGGCCTTGAACCTTGAGACTCAAGGAGTCATCCCTGGGCAGAGACATTCCATACATGTCCCTTTGTTTCTCTGCCAGAGAGAAAGCATATCCTATGTGGCCTCAGGTGAAGAAGAGCTTTAGAAACCTGTGCCTGATCTCTCTGGACTTTGAAGATGCACACATTTTTCCCTTATGCTTTTGCTCTGTATCCTTTGCTACCAAAAATCCTACTGCAAACTGCTATTAGGTCATATAAATAAGTTTTTACTGAGTGAAACACTGCCCAAGACCATGCAACTAAAAGGTGGTAGAAATAGAATTCTAGCCCAGGCAGCTGACTTCCAGGCTTGCTCTCTTAACTATTGTGCTCTACCATCATATAGCTAACATATGGTATATACTGCACTCAAAATCAGTGCCACTATTATTATCATTACTGCCCTTCCTTTGCTTTCTAGATCTGCTTTGATGAACATGCATTATTTGATAATCAAGGGGAGAAAAAGCTTGGAAGTGCCTATGGTTAGGGATAGAAAGATGAGGAGTCAGAAAGGAAAAAAGACAACCAGGGAGTAAGTTAGATTGGTGCAATCTAACAAAGTGAAGAAGCCATTAAAGTTAAATATAAGGCAGTTTTATAGGAGAAAATTTCTCAATCCTGGAGGAGGCAGAGATTTATCAGATGAGACATACAAATCATCAAAGGAAAAGTGGATAAATGAAGCCTCATCAACATTAAACATTTCTGTTTCTTAGGACCTTGTTAAGTCAATTCATACATTGGAAGAAAATATTTGTAATAAATATATCTGATAAAGGACTGGTATCTAGTATACAGAAAGAAGTCCTACAGCCTAACTTATAAGAAAATATTAGAAGTGGGCAAAATATTTGAATAGATACTTCACATAAGAAGATGTAGGAGTGGAAAACATGTACAAAAAGATTCTCAATATGATTAATCATTAGAGAAATGCAAAATAAAATCACAGTGAGGTACCGACTATATACTCACTAGAATGGCTAAAATGCAAAGCAACTAGAACTCTTATATGTTGCTGTGGGGAGTGCAACCCACCTGGAAAAACAGTTTGGCAGTTCCTTAAAGATGCCCTTATGATATAATGTGACACACTCCTAAATATTTGCTTCTAAAATGATAACTTATGCCCACCCATGTAGTCAATGCTCATATCAGTTTTATTCATAATAACTAAAACCTGAAAAAACCCGAATGTCTGTCAACAGGCAAGTGGACAAAGAAATTATGGCTCCTCAATTAAATGGAATACTAATCAATGATAAAAGGGAACAAACATGATACATACAGCAACATGGATAAATCTCAAGAATATCATGTTGAATAAAAATGGCTGACACAGAAAGAATGCCTATAGTATGATTATATTTATGTGAAAGTCCTGTGGTTGCCTCTTTGGGATCTTTTGGAATGATATAAATGCTCTATATCTTCATTGTGGTGATGGTTATATGCATATATACATTTGTCAAAACTCAACAAACTACATACTTAAAATGGGTGCAACTTATTGAATGTACTATTCTTCAATACTGTTGATTTTAAAATATATAAGGACAGTTTTATTGAAAGAGCAATGGTCAATTTTTTCAAATATTGCAGAAAAACGGAGAAGATAACTGGAAAATGGCCATTGAATCTGTCAATGAGTGGTGACAAGGAGTTTCAAGATTATAAATTCAATAGACTTGGGGTTCAGAAATCAAATTATTGGATGTGAGAAGGGAATACCTGACATGCAGAGCAAATTGGGCTGCTTCTGATTCATGGAGCACCAGATGCTGACTCATGCTGACCATACAGCAATAACCTCCAACCTGCTGAAATCCAAAACCCAGAAATTTAATCAAGTCACCAATTATACTGTTTATCAAAGATATTTTGCAACCTCAAGTAGAGCAATGTAAAGATTTTCTTCTTCACTGTAAGAGCAATGCAAACATTTAACATGCAAACATTGTTTATCTTTTTTAGCCTTCTTTAGGTTCTCCTATCAGTTCTTAGCAGAAGGCCTCTCCTACTGAATCAAGAAGACTTCCTCGCACGGTGGCCTGTGTCCTCATGCATTATCATTTCATCACCTACAGACCCTCTTCTACCAGAAAGACATCCTCCGCCAATAAAGGCTCTCCCTATCGGCCGTGTGATTTCTACCACCCCCAGCATGGAAAGGGTTATTTTTCAGTACTCATTTTCAATCATTCCTTATTACAGCCCTTCCTTTGTCTTCACAGGTGCTAACCCCCAAAGTGACTTCTCCAACCTCTTTTCAACACCAAAGCTGTCAAATTTCTCAGCAAGTCAAACCCTTCAGTCATTATTTCCTGATCAAATTTACCCACAATCTGGCTTCTGTCTCTGCCCCAAGAACCTCTCCCATGCCAAATCCAGTAGGACGCTATAGATGTACCCTCCATAGCTTCCCTCCAATATTTGACAGTAAGGTCTAACCCTGTCCTTACTGAATGTCCCTTTTTGGCTTCTGAGAAGCTTTTTCTCCCACTTTCCAATGCTTGTGTCTCATCCTTCTTTTCCTTCCTCCACTGAACCTTCTGCCAGTCAGTTTGGATGTTCCTTGAGTCATTCTGCAACATTCCCTCCACCCCATGCTCTGAGCACAGCGCTTCTCACACTCTAATGTGCATATGACTTACCTGGGAATCCTGGTAGGAGGCAGATACTGATTTAGAAGGTCTGGAGTGGGGCCTGAGAGCCTGCATTGCTGACAAGCCCCCATGGAGGCTGACAGGGCTTACCCAGGGCACACTAAGTAGTTAGAGCTCAGAGAACAGAGCCTGCATCCAGATTAAACACTTTCAAACTCCACAACTGCATTTGTGACTAGTCCAATGTGAAATGCTCTGAGTCACAATTTAAGTACCGCAAAGATGAACATTCAATGAGGATTATCCATAACTTAAAAGAAAGCAGTTTCCCTCAATATAGTAGAAATTGATAGGACAGCCCCAAATATTGCAGATAATTAGAGTCAGTTTTCCACTGGAAACAGATGGAATGAGAAGGTGAAATTATATGAGGAGGAAAGAGTTCTGCCAAATCCTCAGGCTGGAAGTCATCTGAAACAAGGTAGGTTTTCCTAGAATATGTATTGACCACTGACTGACAAGATGATTCAGTCACTCTCAGTTCTGAATAAACCAAACTTATATTCCCTCACGCATGATTGTCCAATTGCATCCACTGCCTTTCTTCATAGATTGTGCTATTCAACTGGCATTTGATTTTAGATTCATCCTCCTAGACCTATTCAGCCAGTAATTCAACCTTGATGGGACGTCAATGATCGCCCAGGAGGAAGACAGTCACGTCCTTCCATGGCATGAAGCTTTGAAAGGTTGGTTTCTTTCATCTCCTTTCTGCCTGTGTATTAGAAAGATTCCTCCCACAGTTAGAGAATTCATTCAATAGCGTGATTTGGGCCTGGTGAGAATGAGATGCCTCAGCTGCTCTTTGTTATTTAATCACCTACAAAAAGAGGTAATTTATTGCTCCTGGTACTTCAGCAGTAGATGGACATTGGATTTCAAGTCTTCCATGAATCCACTAAAATTCTGATCTGGAGGAAATAAGGTGGCATTAGAACAGAATATTTGGGAGCAATTTTTTGATGAAAGGCCTTACCTACTATGGATATTATTTCAGGCAACCAGAAAATAAAGACTGAATTTTAAAGCACTTTGTGTCAAGATACAAGTAATAGCTACTGGAATACCAAATGAACATTGTATTATTACTGCTACTGAAATGAGTTAAAAATTAATTCACAGAGAACCATTTTTAAAGATAGAAAGAACTTGTGGGCTTACCATGGTGAACACCCAACAGTAGACACTAACGTTTGTTAAATATTAATGCAAATATTCAGATAATTAAATAAGGTCAGACGAGGATAGGGAACAGAAATTTTCCCTTTGGAGTTCATCAAGCAAAACCTGTCACCTCTCTGAGTTGTCTGATTGAGAATAATTAATCGAGGACACAGATGAAGCCAGGCTTGATTTTATATAGTAATAGATGGAACACTTCTCTTTCCCCTATTCCAGGCAATTTATCCTAGGAGAAGTTGCAGGCTAGGAGAGGCACTGTTCAAAGGACACAATGAGAGCAAGTGTATCTATCTCTTTTCATCACTAAATCTCTGCTTGAGCCACACAATGACAAATCTCATTTTCACATTTCAGAGACCCAGGTATAAGAGCTACCAATGGTCCAAGTATTGTCCTGTCCATGCTTCCTGTCACCACCAGTGACTCCCTGAGGGAGGCACTATGGCATAGAGGGAGGCATGGAATTGAAGTAAAACACACGAGTGTTCAAGTCTTGACCAGGTCACTTGATGACTGTGTGATTCTAAATAATTTCTTTAGCCTCTTAGAGATTCAGTCAACACAAATGGAGTTAATATTATCTAATCCTGAGAATGATGTGGGTTATACAAGCTAACAGACACAAAGCGCTTAGTCCAGCAGAGAAAGGCTTGCTCCTCTTCTTATCAGAGTCATTTCAGCACTTCTAAATTACCATGCTGAAAATCTACCATGTTTTTCCATTATCTGCAGAATAAAGACCAGGCAGCCATCTCCTGATTAGTTCCACTTCCACCCAAACTAGTTAGTTTGCTAACCCCTGCATATTCTTTGGGCTTTCCTATTTGCTTATTTACTCATTCAGTCTTTCAATAAGTTAGCAAATATTTATGGAGTGCCTATTATGAAACAGGTGTAGGGATAGGTGCTGGCGTTCTAAAGACAAGTAAGACACCATCCTTACCCTCAAAGTGGGCCAAATAGAGGAGAGAGCTATCTGTCCAAGTATTTATAATGCAATGGGCAAGCTGCTGTAAAAGACAAAGTGCTATGAGAACACGAAGAAGGAAGTATTTCAGACCTCGTTTTCCTCGTTTTCAATGCCCTCCTCTCTATTACAGAAATCTTATTTAGTGTTCAAAACCAACAACTCCAAACACTGACCTCTTCAACACTCATCATGTGCTTACTGAGAGCTCAGTCCCATGCTTAGTGCTTAGCAGCCATTTAAAAGGATGTTTTCACCATTTGAATTGCTGCTCATTTGTTATCTATCATATTTCTCATGTATTCTCAATTATGCTACCGTATCTCTATACTCCAGCTTGAAGTTGTGTTCCTCGAAGTCAAGGATTGAGTCTTCTTGGATGAATGCCCACAGCTGCTAACAAAACAGAAGCAGATAGATGATCAATAAGTGTATGTTTATTGCTTCTAAGTCTAAATGCCAAATTAAGTTTGAGGTCCAAATTAAATTCAACAGAATGCTTAAAAGAACTAAATTGATTAAAAATGATGTGCAACATAGGCAATTGGCAGTGCATACCTGAATAAAAAAGAGGGAATGAATTCTGGGGAGATATCAAACAAGGACAGCCATAGCTCTGCCATTATATTTTAAAAAATAGGATGAGTGGGTTCCACCATTTGACTCTGAGAGTCTTTTGTCTAAGTATGAATGAATAAGATATTTTCATCAGAATGACATTCACATTAATGAATTTTCACCTGGAAAGAACTAATACCCATTTTCCAGGGTGAATGTTATTATGATAATTTAAACGCTTGATCAATTTTCTATACATTGTAGTGAAACCCCTTCCATCTTTGTTTTATATTCTCATTTTTATTTTACTGAAATTATTTTTATTGGAATCAGTTCTCCTCTATGTAAATTTCCAACAGAGGTTCAATTCCCTGTTCAAGTTTTTGTCCATATCAACCTTTACTGATTATATTTCTGCCAACTTGGGTTTTCTATTGTTGCCCTCATTTTTACTAACTTCAATTTTATCTGGGTCAAATTGGACAGATCTAATGTTATTAAGGTCTGATGTCTGAAGATTTATTTTGAGTTCATCATTTCGAGGAGTCTAATTTTCATGCCAACTTTTAGTTTTCAATATCACCAAGAAGCTATCATTCCTCAGCAAGCTTTGTGCTTTTTAATAAGTTTTGTTTGTGAACAGCATTATCCATTGCCAGTTGATTACTTTCTCACAGGTCTGTTTGCTAGAGATCTGGTCAAACTGTCCTTGGGGTGAAAACACACAGAGACCAAATGGTACTGTCCATGGAGAAGGATTAAACTTTCCAGCTTCAGAAGTCATGCATTAGAGATGCTATAGCTTTTCCTTTCCACTCTTATAATACAGACTCCCTCTGGAAGAACAAGACGTCAAAATATCAACTGGCGACAGACAAATCATTGAGAGTATGTACTCTGCGTGACTGCCGGGGTTTAAACTCCAATTCTACTAGTTACTGGGAGTGTGACTTTTGACAGGTTACTTACTAATTTGTGCCTCCGTTTCGTAATTAAAAAAATAGGGTTGTGAGGATTCACTGCATTGATAATCTCAAAACAATATTTGGCACATAATGACCACTTAATAAAAGTAGGTTCCATTATTAATATTAGTTAGAATAATTGCTTCAATGTTCTCCAAATACATTGTTTCATATCTTTGTTCAACTGCCCTCAATTTCCTCTTCTCAAAAATGGGGCTATTAATAGTATGTACCTCAGATTGCTTTGCAATCTGAATGTGTAACACAAGTGCTTAGAACAATGCCTGGTGTAGGGTTAAGTGCAATATAAGTGCTATGTTGCCGCTATTTTATTTTTTCACCTTAGGGTGAGTGAGTTTACAGCATCCTAAGAGTCTAATAGCTAGTTTTCCATAGAGAATATTATAAAGACAACACAAGGGCCCTAGAGCCCCGAGGTCATAGGGTGCCACCAGCGAGTATGAAAATACATTAAAAGCAAAAGGGAACTATGCAGCTATTCAAAATGATAATCTACAATAAGGTAAGCACCATGAGAGTAGGGATTTTAGTCCTTTTTGTTCTTTGCTATTTCCCAGCACCTAGAATAGTGCCTGGCACATCTTAGGTCAATAAATATTTGTTGAATGAAGGTTGTGTGGCAACATTGAAAGTGTTTCTTATATGGTATTTAGTAAATAAGGCAAGATATAAAATTATATTACACTATGATCATAACTTGGCAGAAACATACATGCATATGATGAAGACTAGGAAGTGATGTGTGGAACTGAAAATAGTTGTGTTGTTATCCTGACTGTAATATTGTATACTGTCTTTTTATAAGGTAAAACAAAGAAGGTGAAGGCAGAAAGTTCCTAAAGAAATATTACAGCTGTGTCATAACTTTATATAATGTGGGGCACCAAACCCAGATCCTTTTAAAGTTGGTTTTGAGGAATTTAATGTTGACCATACAGAAAAATACTGATGTAAGCCAATTACTTGGGACACTTTTGATGTTTTTTAAAAAAATGTCTGAATTCTAGAGAAAAGTACACAGACATAAATGGAATACATGTGATATGTATCTCACACACATACACACACTCTTTCAAGTTGTATCTTGAGCTGATTGTTCACTCAAAACAATCTCCTAGACCATCTACATCCACCATACAGCACAATGAGCATTTGTGCTCATAATGATCTTTCTGCGACACTGCAAGGACTTCGACCGTCAAAGATTCAATTACATTTACCACCTTACACTTCCCAAGGCTTTAAAGGGGCTAATGCATTTTAGAAAGATTTTTCTATGGAAAGATTTGAACAAAGGATGTTGGGTTAATTTTTAGTTAACCAGAAAATTTAGTTAACAAGAATGATTTGTCCCCTGAACATTTCCATTAAATAAAGTTTGACTGTACTTTGATCTCTGAAATCTTTGCCCAGCTTCTTTCTATTAACAGTGCCTGGTGGAAAAGATGTAGTTCTCTAGTCAAACTGCTTAGAGAAGATTAGATTGTTCCCAGTCTTTAAAACAGAAAGACAACAGGTGAAAAAAAACATCCTTTTTTTGAACAGTTTTCTATATTTGACTTTTGACCCTTAGATATGCTGCATGAAAAAATTAGTCCACTAGGACATAACACCAGAGTTTGGGGTCTTATAGTCTCTATTTAAAGCTATATTACTGTTATAAGTCTTATTTTGAGAAAATATGCATTAGTCATTAAAAATTAATTTATTTTTATTTGTTTTCCAGATTAATGGTCCTTCTAAAATAGAAAATTGAATGAAGGCTTAGTCATTTCATTTGCAAAAGCTAATTGAAGCACATACTTATGAAATTAGACATGGAGAAGTGAACCACCACCACCCACTCAACCACAAAGAAAATGATTTTTTTACTTATGAGACACGGTGAAAGAAGAGAAATTAATATGCGTGTGGTAATTCCTCCACCCTTCTTCTCAATCCTCCTGGTGCCTCTTAAGGAGGAGTCTGGGTCTTTTGTGATGATAATGGAGATAATGGGCAGAAAATCTCAGAATCCGGAGGCAGGAGAGCAGAGAGGCCCTGTGCACTGGATTTGGTGCTTTCTTAAATACTTTTAATTTTATCAATGTTTACATGCATCATGTATATAGATTAAAAGGAGAATTCTTTCTGAAGGGTCTGTAATAAACCTGCAGTCCCTCAGGCTTCCCGTTTCCCCCAGCCGCCCAGTGGCAGGCTTCCTCACAGGGAGTCAGTGTCCTCACAGGAGGCAACTGCACAAAGTTTTCAAAGGGGCAAACCCGATGCGTTGATTGCTTACAAGTCTACATGTGGGTCACATTTGCTGGGATATCATTGGCCAAATCAAGTCACATGACCAAGGCCACAGCTAATGTGAGAGGGGAAGCACAGGGCAGGAATACTGAGGAGTGTTGTTCACTTACCATAATAAACTCCCACACGTGGTGAAACAGCATAGCTCTCTCTTTGGTAATATAACTTCCATCCTCCTAACTCAAAGACGAAATTCAAAGAGCTGAGTATTTTTATGGCTCCTGTTCATGTGAAGTAATGTTTTCTCAGGAATGCCCAAAGGAGTTTCCATTTGCAATACAGAGCAGACCTTCCCGCTGTACACTTCCCCCTCTCTCCTCCTGCCTCTCTCACATGCGCCTAAGTGGTCTCTCTGTATTTGCTTTCTATTGTTGTCATAACTAATTACCACAAATTGAGCGATGTTTTAAAGCTACCATTATTATCTATTGGTCAGAAGCCCAGTGGGCTGGGCTGGGTACTCTGCTGGGTGCTGGACTAAAATCCAGGCAACAGCAGGCCTGGGCTCCTATCAGGAAGCTCTGGGAGAGAAGCTGTTTCTGGCTCTTTCAGGTTGTTGGTGGCATTCAGTGCCAGAGTTGTAGGACAGAGGTCCTTGTTTTCCTTACCAGCTGTTGACCAGGGGGTGTTCTCAGCTTGTAGAAGCTGATCACATTCCTCCGTTCATGGTCCCTCTGTCTGCAAAAACAGTAATTGTGGATCAAGTCTTTCTCAGGCTTCACATCTCGTTGATTTCCACCTCCTCTCTCCTGCTTCTGCCACATCTCTCTGACTCTCCTGCCTTCTTCTGTGTTTAAGGGTTTAGGTGATCACACTGGGCCCACCTGGAATATCCAAGACAACCTCTCTATTAATAGTCTTTTTTATTCCATTTGCAAAGTTCTTTACAGCAATCCCCAGATTAGTGTTTGATTGAATAAACAGAGGAAGGATAGGAATCCTGGCAGGACATCTTTAGAATTCTGCCTACTATACCCTTACAGTCTCTTTCCTACCTTATAATCCTCACAAATTTTTTTTCTAGAATCCAGTCCTAGGTGGTGGAGTAAATATGGTTCTCTCCACTTCCCTCTTTAAAAATACTCCCAAACCACAAGAATAATAAATTGACAAACTCCATTTTTCATTAAACAAGAAAACATCTTTCCTACCACTATGTATAGATAGAACAGATGAAAGAATTATAAATTACTTAATAGGATGGAATTCAACCTTAATGTCGATGAGAAAGAAGCCAGTTTGCCTCACAGAAGTTCCTGAAATGCTCATAAAATCAAGGTACCTAAGGGCAAAAAACCCTACAGTTACTGATATTCAGGGTTCCCCAATGAAAATTCCAGCTGAGCTCCAGACCGATCCAAGGAAGCTCACCAATGGTCATGCACACAGAGGTCCCATTAAACTTTCTACTGCTTGACTTTTTAATATAAACCAGAAGCCAAAAATCACCAGGTATTTGTAATTACAAAGACTAAAACGGAAGGGAGGAAGGGAGGACCCGGAGAAACGCCAGAGACCAAAAGAAAACTCCAAAGTAAATATAATTAATATTCCCAGAGAGATACAAGAAACTGCTTCCATAAAATAAGATTATGCCATAAAGTGGAGAATCAGAAAATAATCACCTCTTATAAATTAAAAACATTTTAATAGAAATGAAAAGCTTAATATATGACTTGAAAGTTGAAGTCTGGGAAATCTCTCAGAAAATAGCTAAGTCAAGTGGTGCAATAGGCAAGAGAAAATAACATTAGAAGATCATTATAAAATATTGCATATCTAAATAACAGGAGTTCCAGAAAGGGAGAAAGAGTAAAAGAGAAAAGGGAGTGGTGATTGTGGGGGGCTGTTATCAAAAAAAGAGTACAC